GGGGGGGTCTGGAGCCGGGGTTGGGGGTGCCCACCCCCGGAACCCCGGAACCCCGCCGGGGCCCCGGGGCCGGGGCTCGACAACCCTGCCCTGAACCAACAATTGCACGCAATAATTGCAAATCCTGCATCAATAACTGACAGGATGCAGTCTTGGACTGATTAGTGTTGATTAGTAGTTAGACAGAGTGACTAATTAGGGTTTGACAGGTGTCCACTGATAACCAAGATGCAGCGATTTACAGGTAACCCTATTTTTAGACCAACCCTGCAGGCTTCACCACCGTATGACCCTGTATGCCATACCTTGGGTATGGCGAATTACAATTTTCACTGTAACTGACTCAAAACATCAAATCTGGATGTGCGATTTCAGACACAGGCTGAGTATTGAATTGCGATTTATCAAGGACTGACAAAATTGAATTCTGACGGACGAAATTGAAGTTATGACTGACCCTAGTCTAGCCAAGCTTCAGCTATGTCAGCGCAGAATTCAAATTTGCATTATCACTATGAACAAGACCCTGAATTCACAGATTCACTACACAGTATAGATCGCAATACTGTAAAGCAGTCACATATGAAATCTGAGTCACGAAGGAATACTAACAGGGTTAGTAGAAGGTAGGGGAAGTTGGATATGGCTGTCCCACAGTTTGAATTTCGATTTTCAGCTGTAAACTGACACACAGACCAAATTTCGCTATTCTAAAAATAGCCCCAGAATCGCCACACAGGATAGAGTAAGGAACACACTTACTTCAGGGTCATCTCTGAAGAAGATGCATAAAACTTTGGCTATGGTTGAGTGGTCAACCCCATCTCGCCAGTTTCATCTCCTGATGACACCCAATGTTCCCACGTACCAAATTGCCTGAAACTTGGTGATCCAGTAGATTATCCTGAGGCGCTTCACCCCCAACTGACAGATTCAATGAATTTGGACTCCCAGGTGCCAATAACTGACAAACTCACTGCAGCACCACATCACCCTGTACTGTGCTGCTTGGAAATTGGGGATCCTGACCCAATTCCAAAATCGCAACCTCCTGGGATCACTTCCTTGCCAATCGCCAGCCTCCAGATGAATCGCCAGGATAAAATTAGCCTCCCAGAGCCTCTTAGGCCTCCGAGCACCAATCGCCAACCACTTCTGCACAACCCTAGTCAGGAGTGAGTCACCCTCTATCCAATTCTTCCCGCCACACACTCACTAACACCACCCTTACTGACAACAACCCTGAAGATGATGAATCGCCATGAGACTCAACTCCAGTATCTCGCCAGATGATGATGGTTGCTCCAACTCATCAATCGCTCCAGAGTGTGGATCCAATAGCTCCAATACCAACTGTTATGATTCTGGTTGTTTGTTGTCTGAGACCAACACTCGCACACATAGACTTCCAAGTATGCCCATACATACACAAAAGGAAGGGGAGAGGATAGGAGTATCACACCGCACAGGGAGAGATAAACACGACGAAAGACTTGACCACGCGATATGACAGGGTACACTGAAAGTGCAATTCACTCCACTCAATCCTCACAACCAGTCATAAAGAAAAGTCGAGTAGATCACATCCAGGAAACAATGAAACGATGATAGTCCAAACCCTGTATTACACTTTTTATTAAACTCAGAGTCTCGAATTGTCAGGATAACCTCGGTACTGCAGTGCGCTGCTCAGAAATGAGCAGCACTTCCCTCCCCAACCCTGAGTAACCAATCGTAACACCCCTGAGCCCCTGAAACATCAAGCGCCACCCAGATATAGCCTCCAAAGGGAAGCGCTACCTTGAAACAGGCCTCTGAGGCCAAGTGCCACTCAGAGGATGAAGAAGAAGACCAGCGCCACAGTATCTGATGATGACGAAGTGTCGGAAGACTTCCCGGATGGAAGTCTGTAACAGCGCCACCAACTCCTGACAAGATGACCTCTGAGGAAGAAGCTGCAGCTATAGCTGCAACGCCACAACCTTTGAACCCCACTCCGGAGGAGGGTCCAGCAGGGCACCAACTTCTCTCGCCTCCAGCAGACCTCGATAACCCAGACCTCTGACAGCCCCGCGTGCTGGCAGAGTACAGCGCAGGTCCCAGCTATGGCCGGCGCTCCGAAGGTCTGGCTATGTCTGTCCCCCACAACGCTGAGCCGTCACCACTTACGGTTCACGCGTAGCGCAGCAGCGATGTACTCGGTACCAACTGCCAAAAGCCCTGAACCGATGTGCCCATCCTATCTATAGACTAAAATTAGCCTAGACTCGACCTAGACCGGACTGACTGACTGACCGGTACCGATTCAGTTTCGGCCCCTCGGCCTCTACCTTTACCCGGCTATAGGCTATAGGACCGTCTATCAGCACAGGCCTTTAGGCCCTGTCTGTCCTAGGGGTAGCCCGGGCCTGCTATTCGCAGTCAGGGTAGCAGTAGGAAATTCACTTAGTGCTGGGCCTTGATTTTCCCAAATTTGCAGGTATGTCTCTCACGAATTTCCACTACAGGTAGGTCTCTCGGTTAGCCCTCAGCCAAACAAAATTACGAATCTACCCTACCTATGGTACAGCCTCGACAGAGAGAGGCTACAGGCGACTACAAAACAGCAAGTCATTGCATCCTTGCTTCCATCC